ATCATGATTCCAAAATTTAATACTAAATATTTTGATACCTTAGGTATCATCTAATTTACTATAAAATCTTCTAATTTGGACTATAACATTTCTAGAACGAAATTTTAGATCACCTTAAAATAACTAATAACATAAATCATCATATTTTTAATGTTTTACTGTTACTTGATAATAAGTAATGTTTAATTTTGGGGGTATTGATGCGCCTAAAAATTACCTAATTTTTCATATACATTTTATGCTCATTTTTAATGATATTGCACATTAAAGAAAGATATTTTGCATGTTTTTGGTTTCAGGTACAAGAAATGGAGTTTTGGAGAAAATGGAGCAAAAATGGTACAATTTTGGTTCAAATCGAGCAAAAAAGAAAAATTTGATCTGACATATTTTGATATGTCTTTCTATACTTAATCTCCTTTACATTTGTCACATGTTTTTGAATAAAATTATACTTTAAGGAAAATGTTATTTTCATGTTTAACTTGTAGGTATAACACTTGGAGCAGATTGAACTGAAACGGGCGAAACGAGCGCAAAACAGGGTGTTGCTAGCAGGGTGGTGCCTAGGCGTCAGTATTGCCCAAAAAATGATGCCTATGCACCAGAAATGGTTGTGGACGAGTTCAAGATGCCTTAAGGAGTTATAAGTCATCATTTGACACTTAGGAAGACACCTTTTGGCATTTCAAACTCTAGGAATTTCCAAGGACGTCCAGTGGTCATAGATAGGAGTAGGAATATGGATTTCTAACTTTTTTTAGAGAAATTGGTAATAGATTTTGAGAGATATGTGTAAGGAAATGTATGAGTAGGAGAAATTGGTGATGGATTTTGAGAGATATGTGTAAGGAAATGTATGAGTATTGCGTGGATCGGCAGAAGACTTTGTTGAAGAGATTTACATCTTTTTTTTTCACAGCAAAAATACTAAGTATTGTGTTCTTCATTATCTTATAGTTGTTTTAAACACTTTCTAGTGTATTTGCTTTGATTTAGTGAAATTTTATGTTGTGTTTTATCCATGCTTCATGAGTAGTTTTCTTTACTCTTTTGTTTTGATATGAAGTAGTGATGTGAGTGGGAAAATTTGGTTTGAGATAGAATAATTTTTCTTTCTATGTGATGATTATGTCTCATTTACTTCATTGACATAACTTAAATGGTAATAAGTTATGTTAAAATTTGTTGTAAGTGAAACTAAGACTTGAGAGAGCGGTTATCTCGCAACTTGAGTGCACTCAAATTGTCCACTAAGCTAGTAAAGTAGTTTAGGCGGCAATGCAACTTTTAAGGAATTATAATTCATGATCTATTTTTATTAGGAGCTTCTAGGTGACAGCTAGTTGTGTAAAACTAATGGAATACTAAGTGTATCTATACACTCAGGAGAGGGTAGGTAGTCATATGTTCCTTGTTGGCATATAATTATTACATAATTCTATCGATTCTTATACTGTTTATGCAATTATCATCATTTTACTTTTTTTTTGCAATGAAATGGATGCATGTTTAGGAATTTATATTTGCTTTGAAATTCTCTTATTTTATTAATGTGATGGTATTTCCACTGGTTCTTAATTTAATTTGTAAACTGACCATTTGTAATGTTAAAATCCGTTGTGAAATATAATGACCCGGGAGGGCTATGATTTCACCCAACTAGTGAGTGCCACACTAAACAATGGATGGAAGGGATGCCACATCCAAAGGGGAATGCAAATAGATAGAGAGATAAGTTTTGATGAGCATAGAATTGATGATTCTAGAGTGACAAACTAGAACCTTTAGTTGGTCCTAATAGAGAGGGCACAATGAGTAATCTGGAAGTGAGAGAATAGAATCTACTTAGTACAACCATATCAATCAGAAATTTAACTTTAGATTGACCAATGTTCTTTATGCACTTGGGGTAAAGAATAAGTATTCTTCTATTTGTCACTGGCCACATTAAAGCTTATGCATTTCATTCCTGCGCATTGTTTAGGTCGTCTCAAGTGTATGGTAGTTTGTAATATCTTAAAATTTATCAAACCAATTTCTCTAGTTAAGTTTATCTTTAGATTTAGGTTTGTATTTAGGAGTCATTATTAGAAAATACCCTTAATCTCCATTCCAAACTTAAGCCCTACAGTAGTAGACTAGAATTAGCCTAAGGGATTCTTGTCTTGCTTTTTTGTGGGATCGATACTCTAGTCTTAAAAGAAAACCCTATATGACTTATGCATATACTTGCATAGAACGCCGAGTGTGTAAAATATAAATCAATTCTAAATGATGCATATACTTGTGTAGAACGCCGAGTGTGTAAAATATAAATCAATTCTAAATTATATAACATATCCATTTTGCACATTAGCCACCTAAAACAGTGTCAAGATTTTGGCCATGGAATTAAAAATTTGCGTAATTGCGGGTCAGATCAAGTATTTGGTGTCATCGTCGGAGATTCAAATTGAAGTAATTGCACATATATGTATGTGTACATTCTACGGGGCATCAGGTATTGATACATGAACTCATAATATGTATACTACTTGATCAATATTTATACTTGCATGATTGACCGATTGCTTCCTAGTAATATCGAAGATCAATAGATTTAAGTTCAAATAAATAAGAGAATCAGAGAATTAAATGTATAACTAAATAATTTTCTGACAAAATTTAAAATTATGGGACAAAGGCAAACACGTGATTTGATTAAAATATTCTTAAGCTTATTCAAAGGTAACACAAGATGACATTCAAATTCAACCAATTCAGCAACTCAACAAATTTTGTCTGCCGACTTTGACAAACTCATTCAGATAATACAATAAATATCAGTTCAAAGTAGCTTCTTCTACTAGAATAGTTCGCTCGGTCTATTTGACAAATCAATTTGACAAGCTGATTTTGCAAGTCAGGGCTATTTCATCAAGTTGTCATATAGTCGAAAAAATGTCATTTTATATAAAACGTGCAACACGTATTGCTACATCATTGTTATTATTCCAATAAATATATTAAATATATTTCTATAAATTTTTTCCCCATAACAGTTCATGTAACCAACCCTTAGCAGTCTACCAAAACCTATAAATAAGAGAAGCTTGATTGGGGGGGGAGGGGGAATCTTTATTTAGAGATTAATCCTAGAAAGTTGTACTAATCTTCCTTATTCCATTCCAATAATTAAGAGAGATTTTTGTCTCTCTTAATTTACTTTCAATGTTGAAACTCTTCTCCTATGCTTACTTATAAAGGGTAATAAATGAAAGGGGATGCATAAATCATGAGATTCTTATTATTAAATTAATGGTTGAGTTAATATATATTATTTTTCAGTTATTGTACTTGTGTATTTAATATCAATTAATAAAAGAATTGGTGAAGCAAATCTATATCTATAAAATTGTATGACAAGGTTTAAAGTATGAGCCAAAATCAAGTGTGTGACATGATCAAGATTTTATCAACATATTCAAATATACACAATATAACATTTGAATTTGGCAAGATAATTCGACAAACTTGCTCTACCGATTTCAACTGACCCATATAGATCATGTAAAAAAGAAATATGTTTAAATAAACATGTTAAATAAAAAAAATCAACCTAATTTGACAAATCAATTTGACAAGCGAACTTGAGATAGCAAGGTAGCTTCATCAATTAACTTATAGTCAAACAATATTATACATTCTAAAATACACTACAAATATTAATACATCATCATCATCATTATTATTATGTACTTTTCTTTCCATGCATTAATTTACTTTGTCACTTTGAGGGGTCAACCCAAACTAATAAATAAAAGAAGCCAGAAAAAAGTAGTGCTTCATTTCCTTTTTTGGGAACTAAATCCTAGAAAGTAGTGCTTCATTTCCTTGTTCCATCAATATATTTAAGAGAGATTTCTTTTCTTATTTAATTTATTTTTTGTGTTCCAACTGTTCTTCCTTATAAGCCTTAGAAAGTGTGACCTCAAAATTAAAGATCAACTCTCATTCTTTCCCCCTTTCTTTCTCCTCAAAATTTTCATCATTCATATGTTAATGTAAAGAGAATCTCATATATTCTCCATTGAAATCATAATATGATCTATTGTAATATTTTCTATTAGTTGCAAAGATCACCAAAATAATAAGAATGTTGGAAAGAAAATATTACAATAAAACTAAAGTGCACCTTCTCCTTAGGATCCATTTATAAAGAAGATAAGAGTGAACATATTTGAATAACAAGATATTATTAAATTAATGGTTGAGTTAATATTTATTATAATTATTCTATTATTATTTTTGTAGATTTAATAACAGATAAATAAAGAGAATAAAATAATTAAATGCATAAGAGAAAAAAAAATTCTAACCAAGTTTAAAGTATAGAACAAATCTAAGCACGCGACTAATAAATTATCCTGAGGTATCACAATATTGCATACAACTGCAATCTCAACAAAACATGACTAATAAATTATCCTGAGGTATCAAAATATTGCATACAACTGCAATCTCAACAAAACATGACAAACTTACTCTACTAACTTCGATCGACTCATTCATCTAATACAACAAATGTCGATTCAAATCAACTCGACCATAATAATCCGCTCAACCAATTTAAATACCTATTTCGACAACCTAGCTCGGTAAGTCGATACTTCATTAATTCTCATTTAGCCTTACATCACAATAGTATCTAAAATATGTCACACATATTGCTATATCATTATTATTAAGTTGATATATTTTCTCTTTTTCATGTAGTCATTCATATAACCATCCACAAGCCTAACCAAAGATAGATGCCAGAAAAAAAGATGGGAATCTTTTTTTTGAGGCAAAATCCTAAAAAAATGTACTAAAATTCCATATAATGATTGAGACACAGCGACGCTAACAAAATGATGAAAAAGAAATGCATCGAAATGAATAATGGTCAACTCACCTTTAATAATACTGAGCCAACATGGACAATACAAGTCTCCTAATTGAAAATAGATGATCAAGAATTCACAAAACAACTCTTAATACAAAGCCAGCCACAGGGTTTACCCACTTCATTTATTCAAATGAGAACAAAAGAATTAAAATTAATCACTACTGTTCGCAGTCAGTATGACATCTTGAAAGTCTTCACTTCAATATTTCAGACACAGTGGATCACAAATTTACACAAGGGGAGGTGCTAAAACCCATATAAAATGTAGAAAATAATGTACAAGATGCGTTCAGGCTCGCCGAAAAAAAAAAAAAAAAACTCTGGACAACGAAAATAAAAGAAGTGCTTCTCTTCTTAATTTAGCTATGAACAGTTGGTCAAGAACATCAATGTCGCTTCCGCTATCTACGCCGGGGTGGTGGATGGTAAGCGGATGTCTTGCTGGAATGAGGTGATGGCTCGGGGCTTTCCGACACCTCTAGATGTGTAGGCAACATTTTCAGAAAGCTTCCATGATTTGTCTGATTTGAAGAAGTTTCAGATTGCATGGTTTCTGCATCCGATTCTGCATACCAACAAAAGTAAATTATCACACAGTTTGAGTTTAACCTATTTACTAAAATGGTATTGAGGAAACTACCAAATAATGACTTGATAGAAGGTCTCTTGGGTTTGTTCTTTTTCTTCAATTCAGCTGCGCATAAAAATAGTTTATGGAACATCATAAATTACGGCAATATGAAGCTGTAGAGGAAATATGATAATTAGTAAAAGCATGAGAGAACCTATGCCATTTATATCGGGGTCGTTGACAATTTCGAAGTTCTTGTAAGTGTAACCCACAAAATTGACATCTTTTGATGAAAGCATCTGTGTGATAGAACAAAAACGAAATAAATAAAATCAGTCATATGCTAGCAGGTCAAATAAAGAGTTTAAATCCCATTAAATTTCATAGCAGTTTTTGGAAAGTCCTCACCCTCCATTATTTAAAAAAAAAAAGAAACAAAATAAAAACACAATTTTTTAGAAGTCTGCAGCAGGGATTCATTTCCTGTGGTCCTGTGACAAAACTATGAATCTACTATCATGATACGTAAAAAACTTATCTCCTGAATAGGCTTTTTTGAATAAATAGTACCAAAAGGTTATAGAGTATTTACTAAAATAATTTAGTAAAATAGTAAAAGTCTGTGTCAGCTGCAAATGATGAAATTAAACTTGTAATCTTAAATTGCACCAAAGGTTTTTGGAAAGAAACAAAAAGAGAGACAAAAAAAACTTGGTACTACCGACTTCGTGATCATTATATAGTTCTATTATACCTTCATGACATCAAAGTATAATAAGCATAGCATGAAATAAATATAGCTTAATTGCAGTCCTCTAGAAAAAAAGACGGTTAAAAATACAAAAACGCAACCGAACTAGCAAACTGTATTATGTTCAGGTGGAGTCAATCATATACCTTTCTCCAAGGTCCAGATTTTGAAGAGGTTTGCATTGCGGTTGCAGTCTGTATGATGACATTCAGAATGTTAGCGAGAAGAAAATAAAGAAAAATAAGGTGAAAAGATTTCCCTAGAATGTAGCAATTTGATTTGGTAAAGAACTGAAGGCTAACAGGAAAGTCTTTAAAAAGATCAATTTTCCAGAAGGATTATATACACAGCTTAGCTTTCAGTGTCAGTTCAGAATCATAATAAGAGCAAAAAGATTAGAAAGTCAACAGGCAAACCAAACAAATTGTTATCAATTCATTTGATCGTACAAGAAAATGTAAAAACTCAAGATTCAAGGAAAAAAAACTTCTGTTCTTCCTCTTATTACACTAAATTACTCTACGGGCAAATATCATTTAATCATAATAGAAGATGGAAAAGCTAAACTTCGAGTAAGAGCAT